TGGTGCACGGGAAAGAGGACACAGCCCCTGCCTGGGGGAAGCAGTACAAAAAGAGGAGAAAAACTTACATCTGGGGATTCAAATGGAATTTCTCTCTTTATAAATAAATCGATTGTGGGTAACAATAGACTAAGAAAAACAAGCCCCAGACAACTTTGCCTAAATCTGAAAATATTTCCCCGGCAGTTTTGCTCATGTTTGTTGATTTTCCCTTGTGACAGGAGCCTTGGGGACACCCCAAATGTATTCTAGAGAAATATGCAAAGCACCTCCTCAGCAGTGTGGGGGCCTCCTCCCGCCTACACCGCCCCTGCTTCACCACTGACTCTGACGTAGCCCCGGCCACAGGGGCGCCAGCATGAGCTTCGGGATCCGTGTGGGGACACTCCCAGCATGGAGGGGGGGCTGCGTGGGCAGCGTGAGCAGCGGCAGGGGCCGCCTCTGTGACTCCACTGCCCGGTTCTGTCTCACCAGACTGTGCGGGTCACCCCCACCCACTGGAGCGGTGGGGGAAAGTGAGCATGCCCCACCCTCACAGCACAGACACGGGAGGGTGCAGGTAACCGGGGCCGGGGCGGGGGGGCCGGGCGGGGGGGGCGGGGAGCCCAGTCACTGCAGCCGGGTCTCGTCCTCGTCCCCGCGATGCGGGGCGACAACAGCCCACAGGTCGACCTGAGGTGTGGGGAGCAGGAAGATGCTGAAGGCGGGAGGACCGCAGCAGCCTGAAAGCAAACCTCAGTGTATGGAGCACTTACCTTTATGCCTTTGGAGGGAGTCCGAAATACTATTTTTTAAAAAATATTTTATTTTATATAATTCTTACATCATTTTTCATCTTTGCACAATGCATATTTTATTTTATATAATTCGCACATCTTTGCACAATTTTCATTTTGGTTATATTCCCCATACATTTGCACCCCCCCTTATTTTGACTCTAGTCCTTCCTCTCCCTGCCCCCCCCCCCCCGCGTAGTGTGTCTCTGGTTTATAGTTGCTTGTTGATTTTGATTTTTACTTTGTATTGATTAGTCTCTTTCCTGGTCCCTTATTTAAGTTTTCTAGATTCCTGCTATGAGTGAGACCATCCGGGATTTTTCTTTTTGGCTTATTTCGCTGAGCATGATCCCTTCCAGCGCCATCCATGTTGCTGCAAATTGCATGAGTTTATCTTTTTTGAATGCTGAGTAATATCCCATGGTGTATATGTACCACATCTTGATCCAGTCATCTACTTTTGGGCCAAATACTATTTTTTACTACAAATAAAAGAGTAAGTTATGTATAGCATTTCTAAATTAATATTTCATTTGGAGACACACACAGTCTCTAAGACACAACTCGTGTCCCTGGCAACAACTGGTGTAGAGGCGTCTTGGACTCAGGTAGTGACTTGAGAAAACAGGGTGACGTATCCAATGTGGCAATGTTGGGGGGCAGAGCTGGGTCTGCGCTCCATGGGGCCATCGGGTGAAGTGCATGCCCGGTGCTCACGGTGTCAGGTCCCAGCCTGCCCCTCTGTCCTCTGCCCTCGTGCTGGGTGTTCTGCAAACTGCGTCAGCCACACGGCCCGCCTGCCTCCCGGCTGCCTGGGTGCTGGTAACGGAGGAGGTTAGGAAATGGACACAGGCAGTCAGCTAGGAACAGGGCGCCCAGGCCCCTAAGTCCACTTATCAGCCTGACTGAGAAATGCTCGGCTGGAACCAGGCGGCCTTCCTTCCCCGTCCACTCCCACGGCCCCAAGCCCAAGGTCCATTTATCAGTCTCATCGGAGAGTTCAGCCACCAGCACAGACACACACTGGCAGAGCTGAGGCCAGGCTGGCATGGGCAGACTCCCAGCCTGAGCACCAGGCGCTGGGCCGGTCTCTTCACCTAAGCACAAGTGTGGCGTCACCTTCTGAGATGTGGGGACCGCCCCATTTTTCCTCAGGGTGGTGGCTGCTGCCTGACGATGAATCTCTGCTCCCATGATGGCCCCCTTTATGCTGCTACAGGCTCCTTATAGGAACCCACCTCCTGGGGGGACCCACCTCTGCGGTAATGCCCCGTGCTCACTGAGCCTCGACGCCATCATCCTTGCTGCCAGAGCACCCTATGTCTGACTGAAGCAGGTTTTACTACTAACTGCTCACGGGCCCGAGGCCATGCATGGGGGTGCTGCCCTGGGGGGTCCACACAATGCCGTTCCCCGCACACCGGGCACTACGAAGGGGAAGGAAGGGTCACAGGCAGGCATCGCGTCCGTGTCCTAAGTGAACAGCTGTGACTGTCACTGCATTTAGAGCTTACTGCGTGGGCATTAATGTGACTTCACTGCATCCGCAGGCCCGGGGTCCGGGCCCTTCTCTGGAGGCATCTGCTCAGCCGAAGCAAGTGAAGAGAGAGGAGCGACTCAGTCCTCCACTAGGGGGCGCGCGTCGCGCAAGCTTGCTGGGCTCCCCCCACCCGCAGCCGGCGGGGGATTCGCTGATGGCTGTCGGGGTTGTGTTGACCATGGTCTGGAGAGGCCAGCAAAGCTGATACGGGCTCGGTGTGAGGCTGTTTGGGCTGCACTTTTCTCTCACTCATGACCTGTGGTGGAGAAAGCCAGCTGTCCCCAAACACGCCTGCTAGGGTGGGCTGTTACGCTGTGGATACAAGTTAACTCCAGGGAAACCCCAGGGATGTGACACATTACATGCTCCGCGGACGGCCAGGCCCTATTCCCCGGCCAGGCCCTATTCCCCGGTCTCCCGGGGCACCCAGGCTGATGGAGGTTCCAGCGTCTTGTAGCAACATCACCCCAGGGCAGGAAATCCCGCCACCTGCTGCAGGAAAGAGCTGCTGGAGGACGGCGCATGGCCCTCACCGGGACTGTCAAGTGACCTCCCTGGACTTGCCACTGGGAGGTCCAGGCGCCCTGTGCCCAACAGGGCAGGAGAGCCAGCTCTGGGTGAGGCCCAGCGACGTCCACTTGACCACGTTCTTTCCTTCCTCAACAGCAGCAGAACACTAGGCCGTCGGCTGCACGCGCTGCCCTCCCCGCAAAGGTCTTCCTAAGTGGCCCAGTTGCAGCCAGTCATTGTGAATTAAAATGAGGTGCGCAGCTTGTGGGGTGTGTCCTAAGGGGAAGTGCACCTACCTCCCCCATCATGCTCCCTGCTGACCAGCGTGGCTGGGTTCCAGGGCTCTCTGGACCTGGACGTGACTCTGGGGACAGAAGCTGAGCTTGACGCCTTCTGGAAGGACCCTTGGTCCCTGATGCGGCCGACAGGCCCAGCAGCTCGGACTGCCCAGGTGTGAGACTTCCAGGTGTGAAAAGTAAACAGGTATTTCTTTAAAGTCACTGATACTTAGGGTGTTTTTTCTGTGATTTGCAGCTGAATTGGATCCTTACTAGTAAGGTGCTGACTGCAAAGTCTGTGACGGCTCTTTCCCCGGCAGCGACGTCCTTCTGCCCCTTCCAAGCCCAGTGAGCTGACAGACACAGATGTCCGTGCCCGAGACCCAGCGCTCTCTACTGGCAAAGCTAAGAGGAGTCACAGCTTTAGACTGGACGGAGGGGCGGGGAGCACCCTTGCCTCTGGACCTGGCGTAACTCCAGTTTCTCAGCATCAACACGGCTGACATTTGGAGGGTGATTCGCTGCGGGGCGCCGCGCCGCACGGTGCTCAGTGGCACCCAGTCCCTGCCACCATGGCCAGCAGCGTGAGACCCTCTCCACATCCCGTCATCTCGGCAGATGCTGCCCCGAGGAACGGAATTAATTGCCCACTGCTGAGAACCACTCAAACGAGCCCTTACGGGGCTCCTCCTCGGGCAAGTCAATCGCGTATTTCCGCAGCGGGAACACGGGCTCCAGAGTCAAGAAACGCCACGTAGCAGAGCCCGTAGTGGCCAGTTCTTTCCCAAACACCCTCAGAGAACACCCCCCGCCCCTGGGCAGGTGACGGGAGGCAGCAGAGACGGAGCGTCCCCCCAGCCCAAGCCCCGAGGGGAGGCCGGCATGGCTCTGAAACGCCTCCCTCCAGCTCTTTTCTCCGCCTTCCTCAGCCCTCGCCCGTCCTCGGGAAGGCCGTCCCGAGAGCACGGACGGCAGGGCCAGCGGGCCCGAGGCCGCCTGCCCGTGTTCAGAACCGTGGGAAAGTGACGGCCAGGAGGGGAGCAGGGAGACTGTCTGGGCAGGCTGAGGGCTGCAAGGTAAGTGCCAAGGCGGCGCCAGGTTGGCTCGCGGGGTCTAGGGCATGAGCCCGCGTGGGAGTCTGGGCCGGCAACGCGTTCAGGCGGCTGGGAATTGCCTCTGGCCACGCGGCCCTCAGCGTTTGCGGGGACCCCGAGGCGTGTGGTTAGGATGGGAACATGGACTTCTGTGAAGCACCGCAAGACCTCCTCTCGCCCTCCGGGCTGGGCGTGGCCCGTCACCTCGGACCCCGTCACCGCAGGCAGCGCGTCCTTTGCTGAATTTTAGGACCCCACCTCCCTTCATCACCTCCCAGCCCCCACTACTCCCTCCGTTTCCCCTTAACTGCAGGTGTCCACAGGCCTCTCCTGCTCCCCCCCGCACGACGGGCTCCTCCTGCTCTTAGAAAGTCACCTGCAAACCTCCTGCCCACAGCTCAGCTGTCCACGGAGGACCAGGCCCCAGGCCGCCCAGCCCCAGCTGCCGCCCAGCCCTGCGTGCGCCCCGTGGCACGTGCTTGTGCCCCCCTGCCCTGGGCGCTGCCCATGCAGAGAGCATGTCACCAGCGCCCGGTTCCCACAGAAGAGGGGCGCAGGCGGGGAGGCCGGGGTTCTGGGGGGCGAGACCAGGAAGAGCACCAGGCTCAGCAGTATTCGAATAAGAAATGTTTCCCAAATTATGGCTTGACTCCTATTTTAAATCTTTTTATACACAGTCTTAACTTCAAGTTGCTTGAAATCTTTCTTGGAAAGCACGAGGCGCTGGCAACGAGAATGTGATGCGGACGCGAACCCTGCACAGCCGGCCGGCCGAGGACTTCAGCCAGTCGAACTGCAACTCACGCACGCACGAGCGGATTTGTTCAAACATTTATTAAGCACTTTTTAATGTGCCAGGCATGGTGCAAGGCGCTGGGCATAACAATGATTAAGACAAATTCCCTCAAGGAGCTCACAGTCTAATGGTAAACTACTGAGTAAACTGAGGCACAGAGTGGTAAATGACTCACAAAATGAGGTAGAAATAGCTGGGAACTCGGAAACATGGGACTAGAGCCGGAGAGGGCAGGGGACAATAAACGCGTCACTGGTGACCCCTCTGACAGAAGAGGGGGGCTGCATCCAAATCTGCTGCATAAACGTTAAGATCGCTTTCACCACAACAGAGTTCGTGTCCTGCGAGGCACGAAGCTGCGAGGTGGCGGCGTGTCTGCATCTGCCTCTCGGTCCCGGGCAGGGCCTGCCTGCTCGGACGCGTAAGCACAGGGGTGGGAGTGCGGGTCAGCAGAGGGGCCTGAGACACCGCAACCAACCCAGACACGAATGCGCAGCACATCCAGGACACGCGACATGGAGGAGTCGGGGAGAAACGCTGCTCTAACCCTACGCAGAAGATTCTAGTAAGTCACAGACACCACAGAAATTAGAGGATTCGTCTGTCACTCTCCCTATATACATCATCTTGGCTGTACAGGGCGAAGGTTCACTCAGACAAACTGCGTGAGGAACCTGGATGTCACACGGATACAGACCTCGCACGAGGCTCATGCACACCTGCCGCATGCACGGCACACGCAGCAGGCGTGAAGCGTGTAAGGCAACTTCTACTGTGACAGCTCCGGGTGATCCTCGGAGGACGGGGCAGCAGCCACGAAGCCCGTCCACTCAGGCCTGCACTGTTGACGATGCTCTCAGGGTGCAGTCCTTCAGCAGGCGAGCATCTCACTGACAACAAGCAGTGAAGTCACAAAAAGTTCGCTTTTTAATGCGGAAACCGTAACTACTGGGAATCTAGCGGCGAGCCACCCATGTCACTACAGGCCGTAACGCGGCCACTAACTGAGAACGCGAGAACTCCACAGGTGACGGGCTGCACCGAGGCTTAGATCTGAGGCGCAACGCACCCGCATGGGACTTTCTAAAACTCAACGTCCCAACTCTCAAAGGCTTTCAGTCGCTCACTTCAAGCAGTTCTTCACTTTGCTGTGGAGGGTCTTCCTCTGAAAAATACCAGAAGAGTCTCCTAAGTGGAGTTGTGAAAGGCAGATGGGTAACAATTCAAGTGCTTAAAAAAAATTACAAATCCTTGGCTAAGGACCACGTTATTTTAATGGCACGAAGCTAGTGTTTTCATAAGTCACCACAAGCATAAACCGAACGCACCCACGATCCCAGGCGCCGTCGGGGAACCCCTCGTCCCGACAGCAGCACCACTGGGGCCACTGCGGGACCCACGGCAGTTCTCAGCTCCCGCTGACCTCTACGGAATTTAACATGGACTTGTGAGAATATTCTACACGACAGTAAAAATTACCATAAACATGTTTAACTCAAGTTTTTATAGCTAGGAAAATTAAAAATACCTATCAGGTCTTACACGCTTATAAAGAAAACATGCGCTTATGTTTTAAGTCATTAACATCTTAAGTGTTCCTGATCACAAAACCGGCACGTTTACCTTTATCCGGGGGTCCCGGACACCTGCTCCTGGACGCAGAGGTCCCCGCGCTGGCCGCTGTCTTCCCACTCGCTTGGCCCGGCTCCACCTCGCACAGGTACACGTCAATGGGCCCCTTGGTGCTCCGAATGTGCACCGTGATGGAGTCCTGGACACGAGACCAGGGAGTGAGCCGCCGGCCCTGCACTGTCTGCGCTTACTACAGCTGCAAAAGCCTCGGGTGATATTTCTGAAAAACTTAAATCCAGACAGCTTCCCTCTACCATGGAGTGGAGAAAACCATTCCTAGCTTTAGTCACGGTCAGCCACTGGCCAATTCACGCAGTTCAAAAACAGCTATTTGCCTGCTCAGCTATGGTTTCCGAAATACGTGCGCACGTGGGTAACTCAGGCTCAGCTTCCTCTACTCAAGGAGTCAGCCCCTAGAGGAATTGGTACATCAGAGTCAAATATCAGTGTTTTGATGACAAAGGAATCTAAAATCCCCTGTCATCTGAACGCTCGGCTCTCCAGAGACCTTCGGAGCCGTGAGAAGGAGCTGTGCTGGCTGACTGCACGGGCCCTTCCGGCATCCACGCAACACAGAAACATCACCAGGAACTCAAGATGTGAGGGACTAGAAGAAGAGCGAGCTGCCCCTGACCACCGGCACGGACTGTGGTAACAGGGAGAAAGTGAATACTCTGTGCCGGTTCCTCCTCTGTGCGGGAGTGGCCGTGACCGCCACCAAGCGTGAAGCGTTGGGCGGACGGTGTCCACCAGCTACAGAGTGGTGGCACCTGCAGGAAGCAGAGCCGGGCAGCGGCCCCTCCCTCTTGAACTCACGTGAACGCAGACACCTACCTCTCTGGGAGCGGGGACGTCCAGTCTGGTTTCTTCTGGAGCTTTCACTGCAAGGACGATCTGCTCGTGGAACGCCTGGATGCTGTGGATGTCCTGATACGTCACGTACGCTAGCGTGAGGCTCCGTCAAGGACACTTCATGGCCAAGTAACTTATCTCTTATCACACACATAGTCAAGTCAGGAAAACAGTTATTTCACATGCATTGTATCACAAACACTTCTTACGATTTCATAAAGTGTGCTCCAAAATTTATAATCCACATAAAGAATTCCTTTAAACTGTACTGCATGGTCACGACGTTTCCCAGAGAAAAGCATTACTCAGGTCTGAATCCCTGACCCAGCACGACCCAAGAAGGCACCTAAATCCCCCGCACTCCCTTTCCGGCTCATTGTGGGAGAGCACCTATGATTTTGGTGAGAATCCCCTAAAATGCAGGGTGGAAAGAAATCTATAAAAAGTAGAATCTAAAAGAGTAAGTCAATCAGCAGCAGTTTTTTATCATACTCGCCAAGTTCACTCATCCAGGGACTTCCCCGCTCACATCCTGAGCCCATGCGGACCCAAGCAGCCTGCTTTGATAAGAGACATTTATAAAAAAAGGTACAGTTAAAGGATATCTTTCGTTTTCTTTGTCATCTGTTAACTCAAACAACTGCTGAGCACAATCCTTAATTAACTCATCCAGAGCATCTTCCATGGCAGATAAGTCGGAAAGTTCTTGCTGCAGCTTCTTCTGCTGAGGTACTGCATCAAAGTTGTTCAGATCAGACCCTCTTTCAAAGAAAAAGCAAAAGGTCAGCATCAGTAGCCACCGGATCACAGCACAACACGAGTCAGGCCACGAAGTCTCCCCAACGACAGCCACACTGCCCTGCTGTGCACAGACCCACTGTATGACAACCTTAACTGACGCCTCAACCCCTGCTAACGATACCCAATTGGAACAGAGGGAACTCCTTTAAGAACACCTATATAATCTATATAATCAAATATACCCTCCTTAGAATCTTTAAAAACGAAACATTTTAATACTGATAATTATTCCATTTAGCTGTCCACAATGTCAGAATGACAGCGTCTATGGCTCCCACTCAGTCCCAAGGGGTGATGTATCTTTCGGGAAAACACAAAAAATTTTTATAAATCCTTTTCTAACAGCAAGTCACGTCTTTGTTTTTTACCGTCAAGGCACTGGTGGCATCTAGCTCGTTCCAAGCATGGCGCTGCCACTAACGCAGAGGAAAAGCACAGTCACGACAAGCCCGACACCCACTCACATCCATCTGATGTGGTTCTTGGACTTCTTCTCCACCAGGTCGATCCCGTCCAGGACGTTGGTGATGTCGTACACCCTGCGCTTGCGCACGCCCAGCTTCGTCGCCACCTTGTTTAAGTCGAGGATCCCCCCAGGAGCAGATCTGACCAGATCCATAAACTTTCGTGTTAAGTAAACCAGCGATACATCAAAGCGAGGTCTCCTCACTTTTAGAGCATCTGGGAAACAGAACAATCATAAAACGTTAGGTATTTCTTCTCAACCCATGAAAACATTTACTGCTTCTTGTTTAGTCAAAAGACACTAAAATCCTACAATGAGACCAAATCACAGCTGATTTTTGTGAAATACATTTCTCAAATTGGATAAAAATTAGCCTGTCCCAGGTTTAAAAACAAAAGGTCTTAGGTTTAAATACAGCATTATGTGACATAGGCAGCCCGTTTCCACAGAGCTCGTGAATTCTCAGACGTAGTGCAGCTTACCAGGCTGGGTGCTCAGTCTGCATTCGTGCCGCCATGCACGAGCAGAACTGGAAGTCATCTTTTAAAATTAATTTTCTCATTTGGTCTTCAAGTTAAGAGATTATTTAGAAAGCAAAGGCAAAGACCTGGCTTTCCTTTTAACGTCTGAAACATCTCTACACGTGTCACAGTGCAACTCTGCTCAGGAAGCTTTTGGAAGAGCTCAAACTAGCTTTCTTTAGGACAATGATGATACAGCTTGAGGGAAAGGTATGTTTTAAAACATCCACTCCCCGGCATTAACAGGTATATAAACGAAGGGGGAAAAGTCTCAATTCCCTCACCCATGCCCCTAGGAAGAGGATTTTGATTTCCCACAAACACTCTCTGGCCCCCCTTCCGTCACACATACACAAATCAACATGTGTAGCTTCTTAAAACAAAAACAGGAACGTGCTGGAACATGCCATTATTTTAGAGACCTGCTATTTTTAACTCAATATTGGAAACACCCTGACTTGTTAAATGTATTTCAACATTACTCTTAATGAATGGTATTTAATTACATATGGAGTATCTGTTAGGCAGATGCCATACTGGAAAATCAGATTGTCTCCAGTTTTACTCTTTTGCACAAGTCTTCAGTGAATCTCCCACAGATAAATTTTTGCATGCATCTTTGTTTCTTTTAGATAACATTGAAAATAAAGGATCGCTGAAGAGGGTGGTTTTAAATGTTTCTGTACACTGCTAAAGCAGACACCCAGGTTGCAGATTCTATCAATTCACGTGCATTTAAGACAAATATTTGAAATCCCATGAAGCAAATTCTGGGACCTACTCAGTAATCAACTTACTTCTCATGGAAACATACTGCACGTTATCTTCTAAATTAATCCTTATTTTTGATGGCTAGAAAAAAGAAGATATTTAACTTAGTGATGTATAAACAACAAGTCACATGGCCGGCACTTTACTGGGTAACAATCTTCTTTTCCCACCTCAGGCCCGGCTCAGAGACACTCGGGGTCTGGCTCCAGACCACCGCGATGACGCGCGCACGTGACAAGCAAGGCGCCGCCTGGCTTCGAGAGCACAGAGGCGACGTTCACACTGTGCTGGAGTCTGTTAAGTGTGCTGTAAGCATGTCTTTAAAAAACCCAGTGGACACACCTCAATTTTAAAATATTCTCTAAAATATGCCAACCATCAGCTGAGCTTCGGAAAGTGGTGCTGACAGACTTGCAAAAAAGTGTACTATCTGCAAAGCACAACAAAGCGGTGTGGGGTGTGGGGAGCCAGTCCTGGAGGCTGGTGGGGGCGGGGGGAGGCCTGGGTGTGCCTGGCGAGGCTCGCTCGCATAGCTCTAGCCACAGCCACCTGCAAACAGGGCGCCAACAGCGGAGGCTGAAGGGCAGGCCCATCAGCATCAAGGGCTGAGGAGCCAAGCAACTGGCAAGGCTATTTTCACTTTCACCCCTTCTGCTAACACTGCGCGAGGCCAGAGTCCCTGCAGCAAGAGTTCGGAATGTGCTCAAGCCCCAGTCATGGAGAGCTGGAGGGCTTAAGTTGCTGTATCTGAATTTCTACCCCATCTGCTGGGGTACTACAGGAGCCAGGGTCACACTACTGTAGAGACCGTGATGTCAGAACGACTGTGACGCAGACCGGGGCTTGGAGGGGCTCCCGATCGTAACCCAGAAGCGCAGGGCAAGGCCAGACACAGCAGGCACCGCTGTCCAGTGACTGAAATCAGCCTGCGGGAAAACACAGCCCAACAGCCTGACTCATCTCCCGACTGCAAACTATGAAGACACGACACTGTCATGCTCTGGAGACGCCGGAGTCCACGGTCCCCAGCCTGCAATTCCAGAGATTCCCGAAGTGCTCACAGCAGTGGCACGTTCCTCCCCTTTAGAGTCAAAGTGGTTTCTGGCTTAAGATGGGGCTCAGGGGCTACGCACTCCTAGATGTGGGGAGATGCCGACCTCGCTCTGAACACGGCGCCTCGCCACTCCACGGCAGCTCCCGTGAAGGGAAGTGAGACCGTCTGGACACCGACCGCAAACAGAGGAGGCCGCTGTTGTTTTCGGTTCTGAAGTCGAACCGTGCCTGGCATATCTTGAGCACTTGGTCAGTATTTGTTAAGCTAGAATGGAGAGTGACATGGAGATGGTGACAAGGCGCAAAGGCCTGGAACGGACCCCCCTGGGGGAGCGCAGAGCCTCGCACCACTGAAGGAGGTACAGCCTTGATTTGTTTTCGGCTACAGCTTTTCGGCTACAGCTTTTGTCACCTGGACAATTTCCGCCTGAAGCTCAAGCCCGGGAGAGTTTCTCTAGCTACTCGCCGACTTGGGTCACCTCTGCACAGCAGGGTCAGGGAAGCAAGGGAGGGGGCTCACAGAAGGAACGCCCGACCAGTCTTGAGGGGACGGAGGCCTCTGACAACTGATCTATATAGATCTAGACCTGAAGGAGGTTAACCAGAAAAGTGTTTAAAAAAAAAAAGTTTTTGGGGAAAGGGAATATGGATATTTAGGGATACAAAAGAATACAGAAAATTTCGCAACTGGAAGCAGTTCAGGAGAGGCAAAACCAGGGCCTGATTATACCTTGAAGTTTCTACCCTACCCCGAGGGCACGAGGGAACCATGATAAAGCCTTAGGCTCAATGAGTGCTCAGAAGCTGCGAGATGGCCACGACGGTCAGTTAGTACACGGAGAAAGCAGAAAGGCTGGGGCAAGACCAGATGCTGGGAAAACGGATCAGAAAAACGGATGACGGTTCCCAGTGGCCAGCACTGGTGAGGACCGAGGTGATCAGGCTGGGAGGAGCAGGGGTGGGTTTGGAAAAGGGTGAAGGCAAGACGAGCCCAGGCGACGACCCGGGCAGACGGCAGGGTTGTTGCTGCCGGGCAGAGGAGATAATTCAATATGGTAGGAGCTGACATCTAAGTAGCGATGGCCAGTCCCGGGCTGGAAAACGGATTTGAACTTATAGCTTGGGGGGTTATGACGACAGGCAAGAAACCCCCAGAGGGGTCGTGTTTAAGGGGGTGTCTCTTCTGGTAACAAACACAGCATTGCTGGTTCTCATACCCTCTAGCGCAGGCCCGTCAGTGTGGACGGCAGCCCTGTCTGGAGAGGTCAAGGACACCCCGTGTGAGGAATGTGGGAGCAGAGGGTCGACGCACCAACATGCAGGGAACGGCCAGAGGAGGAGCAGCTCGAGGAGAGGCCAGGAAAATCAAAGCAAGATTCAGCGGCCAGTTTCCCGGAGCGAGTGTCCATCGGGGTCCAAACCGCGGCGGGGAAGGGGCGGAGGGGCTGCGGCGCCCGCGGCCTGGGGGAGACCCCGCGCTGCCAGGGAACTGAGGGGGGGGGGCTGAACACTTGGGGGCGCCCCCCAGGTCCCCGTGAAGGGGGCGGAGCGCGCCCAGCGGGCGGGGGCGCATGGAGTGGGGGGGGTGTTCTCACAGGGGGGCCGGGCTTAGGACACAACCTGCGGGCTCAAGACGTCATTTGGAGCCGGAACCTGGACGGGCAACGCGGCTTCTCTCCCCGCGGACCCGCCGGGTCCCCCGAGGTCTCGGCCTCCTCGGGCCGCACCACGCGGAGCTCCCTTGGCCGCGCCCGCGGGGTCACCCGGGGCGCGGCTCGCGGCTATTCCTGCGCCCTGAGTTCCCCGCGGGGACTGGGCACCGGCTTCGACGCCGTCTCCAGCAGCGGCGAGGAACCCCGAGTTGCAAAAACGGGGGTAAATGGAAAGCCGGGACCCCGCGAGGCCCCGGGGGAGACCGCGGGGCGCCAACCTGCCGCCGCCCGAGACGGAGCGACCGCGCCGGGGCGTCCGCGGGCGGGTGGGGCGTCCGCGGGAGGCCGCGGGGCTGGCATGGCCGCGGGGGGCGCGCCCAGCCGCAGGCGGCCGAGGGGAGCCCGGGCGCGCGGAGAGCGCTGGGGGCCCGGGGCCGGCGCGAGGGGGGACGGCGCCCGCCCCGCCCGCCCCCGCCGCCGGGCCCCCCCCCCGCGCCCCCCGCCCCCGGGCCCCCCGCCCGCGCTCACCAGCAGGCCCTCCACGTTGATGGGGTCCCGGCAGCGGCGGCGCACGGTCTCCTCGCGGTCCACCAGCAGGCTGGCCAGCTTGCGCGCCGGCGGCTGACTCATGCTGCCCGCGCCGACACCGAGCCCGCTGCCCGCCGCCCCCGCGCGCCCCTGCCGGGCCGGCCGCGCGCGCGAGCCCCGGGGCCCGCGCAGCGAGAGCGGGAGGCGAGCGCGGCGCCGCGGAGCTCAGAGCGCCGCCGCCGCCGCCGCCGCCGCCATCTTGCGCATGCGCACTGCGCCCGCCCGCCCCGCCCGCGGCGCCCTGCAAAGGCCGGCCCGGAGTCCACGGAGCGGACGGCGGCGAGAAGGAAAAGGTGGCGCAGGAACGCCAAGGTCGGGACCGGGGCGGGCGCCGAGTGGCCGCGGGGTGTCCGCGCTCTGAGCCCCGGCGGCTCAGCCACTGCCCGGCCGGAGCTCAGGGCACGCTGCCCGCCGCCGGCTGGCCGCCCGGGCTGGTGTGCGCTGCCTCGCTCTCTTCCTCCATTTGAGGACTCTATTTTTTTTAAAAAAAACGTAGTTTTTTTAAAAATTTATTTTAAAATTTATTTATACAAGAACTGGGGTGCAGGTCAGAGGCGCGGGAGGGTGAGAGGACTCACCAGAGACAGCGGGGAGCAGAACAGGCAGACTGACCGAAGTACGCTGCTGAGGGAGCAGCGGGGAGACAGGAGAGGTCTGCCACGCCGTGTGGGTAGCTCCCTGGCTGGGGATCAAACTCATGCTGCAGAGGCTGCCGATAGCTTCATAGTGCTGAGACTTAACCCAAAGGGGTATTTTAAAAAGAGCTCTTTGCCAACCATAGTCGCTGGGCAGACAAACTCTGGGGCCCAGAAATGGTTATTTTTTTAAAATAAGGCATTAGCCAGCATTTACTACAGGTTTGGCATTAAACGACCATTTTCTCCATGTAAATCCTATAGCAAGACTCAGAGGTAGGTGTTTTCCATCTAATTTAGACATCAGAAAAAATGAAGATTAGCCAGATTACAAAAATGAGCCAGTGGTAAAGCAGTGGTAGAGACAGGATTTGACTCCATAACTGATTGACTAATTTGGTGTGCTGATTCTTGGGAAGATTCTGGAAGGATGACTAGATTTTCTGCAGCCCGCGGTGGGGTCAAAGGACTGAAGGTGGGGTGTGAGTCAGGATGGGGGTGGCAGGCACACCCGGCTGAAGATGGAGGATGAGCATAGCTCGGGGGAACTGGGGCAATGAACTCCCGTCTGTCCCCACCCCATCCTGTGACTTTGCCCTGAGACTCGATCACCCACACTGTTTGCGCATGGGCAGTAGAGGAGTGCCAAGGGGAGAAGGAAATCCAGGGGGCCCTTACCATACAGCAGCCCAGCCCCGTGGAGACACGTAACCAGAAAGCTCAAGGCCTTGAGAGGAACATGTACAACAGGCTGAGGGTGCCCAGAGGGAGAAAAGAACAACTGAATTTGGTAGTGTTAAAAACAAAACAAAATAAAACAGGGCCTTCCTGGGGGTGCAAGGGGTTAAGCACCACACTATGAAGCAATCCACACCACAGCCTCTGCAGCACGCGTTCGATCCCCGGCCAGCCAGGGAGCTACCCACATGGCGCAGCAGACCTCTCCTGTCTGCCCGCTGCTCCCCTCAGCAGTGTATTTCAGTAGATCTACCTGTTCTGCTCCCCACTCTGTCTCTGGTGAGTCCTCTCACCCCCCACACCTCTGACCTGCACCCCAGATCTTGCATGCATAAATAAATAAAACTAAATTTAAAAATAAATTAAAAAAACAAACAAACACAGAGCCAGAGAGGCAGTGGAAGAGATGGAAGGATGCTGGGCAGGCGGATGGCATGGGAAGGAGCGGCCAGCCTGGTCTGGAAGAGTCTTGCAGCAACCCGAGCCACCCTTGCTGGTGAGCAACTTGTCCTTCGGGCCCTCAGTTTCTCTGTGTGTAAACTGCGGGTCAACATCCCTGCAGTTCTGTTGTAGAGAGAACAGACCTCAGGGCCCGGGTGCACCGTCTGTCTTCAGTGGCTACTCGAACTTTACACCCTCACCACGGTTTCCAAGCCAGTCTCAAAGGCCACTCACGGGAACAAAGGTTGGTGCAGTCACTCTGCACCAGGTGCTGTTCAGAACGAGGAGCTTTCCAGAGAACTCCAGAGAAGATGCCGGCCAGGGAACTGGCTTGGGTCCTGGCTCCTGGATTCAGTCTCTAGTTAGCAACAGTATTCGCCTCCTGCTTCAGAAAGGAAACAAACAAAGCAAGCCGGCAGTCAAATACACCCATCGGGCAAATCCCCATGAAAGCCTGTCACATAAGAGCTGTGGGAAAGATGAGCTATTGCCGCACGCTTCAGCGAACCCCAATGAGGACGCTACAAAGGGCAGGAGGCTTGTCAACTCTCTCCAGAGAGGAGCTGGGTCTTCCCACCTCCTGATCCCACTGCCCGGCTCCCGCCCTCTGGCCATTGTTCCCCGGCCATTAGGACCCTTCTCGCTCATTTCCCTGGCTTTGCCTCTTCACCTCCCAGGAACTCTGCACGGTCACTGTCCAATTCAACAACGACCTTTTTGGGGGTAACTGTTAACTTTACATTGCCAGAGAGACCTCTCGAAGCACAGATGGGATTTCAGCCCTCTCTGCTTGAATTGGGTCAGTGTTGTCCTCCATGTTAGGATTTTCCCAGCTCACTGGTCACTTGCCTGCCTGGCGGCGTCCCCCCAGGCACTCAGAAGCCCCCACCTCTGTGCCTGGGACTTCGGCTGGATGGCGTTCTCAGTCACCTTGGTCATTCATCTCTCACTTCCTCAAAGCTTCGCCACGCTGCCTCTTCTCGCTGTTCCATTCCTTGCTCGAACCTCAGCCTGTGGGTCCTTCCTCCAGCAAATTCCTTAGGAAGCCTTCCCTGAAGCCCTAAATAAACCCAGCACCCCTGCCTCTTCCCCATAGGTGTTGGATGAGCCCTGTAACCTGGACTAGGAAGCCCCTGATGACAGGACAGGAAACCAGAGCACCCAGAAAAAACCCACACAAACCTGGGATGAATGTTGGGA